CTGGTACCTAGTAGGGGCTCTAGATCTTTGTTGAGCAAATGAAAGAAGGAACAAACAGAACCACATGGGTTTGAGCAGATACGTCACTGGCTCCAGCTCAGTCAAGTCAGCTAATTTATCTCTCTGGCCACTGTCCTAAGGAAGCAATGACATTAGCCATAACAAAAATATGCACTGCCCTGTCTCCTTCATAGAAAAACAGTCTGAATAAACAGAACAGGAACTCTGATAATAAAGAAACCTCATTTCAATGAGGGAGGCAATCCAACTCTGTCTAAATGCTCAAGGACTTTGAACATTCAGAACTTAAGAAAAAATACATTGGACTTCTGTGGTCATTATATTTTTCAAAGCCATGTCCTTGTTTCACTATTTTGTCTCAGGTTTGGGGGATTTGGGACCCAACACTGTAAAACCTATATGAATATAAACCCAGGATACAAAAACAATTATACCTGTCATTTTTCCAATTTTATCTCTAGCCCATTACATCAACTTTGGGGTCCCTTCCATCCCAAATCCTCATGGATTTATCCAGTGATGTGCTAGAGCTAGTTCTCATCAGCTCATGAGGGCTAACTCTTAAGCTTTCAGGAATTTTTCAAGGCTGTTGTCAAATACAGCCATTATTCAAAATTAAGTCATGTAAATTAATAAATAAATTACAATCGAGTCTTGAACAACATAGGTCTGAATTGCACAAATCCAATTACATGTGGGTTCTTTCCCCGTAAATGTATTTTCTTCTTTATGATGTTCTTACTTAAATTTTGTTTTCTCTAGTTTACTTGACTAAGGATATAGTATATATTACTTATGACACAGAAAATACGTATAAATCAACTGTTTATATTATCAGTAAGGCTTCCAGTCAACAGTAGACTACTAGTAGTTAAGTTTTGGGGGAGCCAAAAGTTTTATGTGGATTTTCAACTGTATGGGGTAGGGTAGTATCACATCCCTTCCCAACAGCATGTTCACTAACACCACACTGGTACCTTGATGGGAGTATTTACACTACATGGTGGGAGTATTTACACCACAAAGATTGGCAATGCTACGAATTGGGGCTTTTTCTTCCCACAGAGCCAGTTGTTGAATATTTGTCAGCACATCACTAGATTGATGCCATCCCAAAACTTTTGGGGTTGGAGGAAATAGTCTAGCCACAGAGTCAGGCAAGAAAAGAGTGGGAACAGTACAATATACTGACGCCATTGCTTCTTGCTGCCACAGTGTCACTGCTGAAGACTGACTCTTCATGGTCACTGAGGATATTAATCTACTTGGTAATGATTTCTCTCTGATTCAAATTCCAGCATAAGGCACATGGCACAGCTCTTCAGCAGAAAACAGCCCCAAAGTCTGAATGCTGGATTGGCCAGAGCCCCATCTTTGGACCACAGAGATATGGCTCTACATTCTCAGCTCTTATGATCCACATCCACAACCATCTTGGTGTGCCAGCTGATTCCAGGACCTATATTTTCTAACTTGATGCCCAAGGATTTACCATAAGTATTGGCAGGTTTTCTTTTTAAACCTTAAAACATGAAGAGCTCTGTTGCATTTCATTTCCCTGGATAGGGGTGCTATTTGTCATGCCTCTACCTTTGATAACTCTTGGGGAGGCCTCCCCGACCCTTCTAAATAAAGATTACATTCTATGACTCAAAGTTGAATTACTGTTCCAAGAGAAAGACTAAGTATTTTCAAGATGCTTATATTTATTGTCCTCAGTTAGGGGAGTGGTTAATATCAATTATTCTAGAGTGATTTCTTAGCTCTTCATTTACTAAAGAAGAAAAGGAGCAGAGAAAAAAGAACTTTAATCTTTGCAAAGCACTTTGCTATAATCAGATACTCCAAGAAAACATCTATCTTCAAAGAAGACTCAATAGCTTACTCATTTTTTAAAGCAGATCGTTTTGCAGACATTTTATTCTAGATATAAAACCAGAAGATAAAGAAAAATTATGCATCAGCTTTTGGTTGCCAAAGTACTTTAACGTATACTTTAAACATTGTTTTTCACAAATATTATGTGAAATATGTTCTATTATTTGTGTTTTACAGATGAAAACATTGAGGCCCAGAGATAGCTAAGTGGCTTTCTAAGGTTACATAGCTAATAAATCCAAAACCTCTCTGCTCCTGTTCCAAATCATAATTTCCTTTATAATATTCTTTCTAAAGAGATGGGAAAACAGCTGAGTAGAAGTCCCCTCCTCAACATTCCTTATTCCTGCCTCTGCCCATGATAATATCCTTACCCAAAATGTCTTCTTTCCTTCTCTCCAACCTTCCAAATCTAATCCATCCTCAAGACTCAGTTACGGTTCAGTCCAAACATGGATAAAAGAAGTGACTACAGAGATCATTCATTTATGAAAACCTTTTACTGATTAAAATTGCAGTCTTACGTTTCTCATTATAATAGGAGCAAAGTGCTTCTCATGTTTACATGAAGTTATATCTCTTCCAAAAGGGGTTTAAGACTCCATGGACAGGTGTTGTTTGAGATGGGCCTTAAGGTGAGAAGGTGCAGACAGAATGTGCAGAGGAGAAAATTATATTAAGAATGGCATTTTTCTAAATAAATAAATAAATAAATAAATAAAACAATAAAAAGAATGGCATGTTTCTGAATGCATGAGCAGAGATAAAAACTTTAAAACATAATGTTCAATTATGTGACTTAATGAAAGACCAATATGCAATAGTTAAAAATGAAAAGAATGTAAGTGCTTTAAATAGCTTTAGAAGTATTCAGTGAATGGGTACCTTCAGTTTGCTTGAAAGCAGGCCCTCTTGGGTGAAAGGCCCAGCTGGCATTTAAAAGGTCAATATCTTTAGGCAGCTAGACTTCCTGGATGAGTAGAGTATGTTTGTTTAGTTTTGGTCACGTCCTATTGTGCTACAAGAAACAACACAACATCAGCAATAGATGTAGTAATTAAATATTTTTGGGTTTTCTTTTAAAAAGTATTAAGTGAAAACCTTCATTTTTAAATATCTTTAATTTTTTATTTTGAATTCAGACTTACAGGAAGTTGCAAGAGTAGTACAGAAAATTTCTGAGTGCCCTTCACCTAGCTTTCCCTGATGACATCTTACACAGCCATAGTATAATCCCCAAAGCCAGAAAATTAACATTGGAACAATACAAGAAACAACAGTTTTCAAGACTCTGATCAGGCAAGGAGTGACAATGATCTCCAAGAAACAGGAAACAAATGAGGTGAGCCCTACAATTATCTGGGCTTACTGCCTTAGGTGGATTTCCAGGCTGTGGCCTGGGGAGAGGTGATTGAGGCAGAACCTTGAGATATTCTGAGTTGAGACAGGACTGAGAGTCTTGGGGCAGCTAGTCTGGGGCAGCTAGAGTTCATCAGATAGAATGCTAGAGCAGAGAGAGCTGCACAGAGAGCCCCAGAAATCTGCAGAAGATCCCCCAACATGTTCAAAAGGGTACTGATCAGTGCATGACTAATGAAGAACTGCCCAAGACAAGGGAAAGGATCATCCAAAGGATTAGCGGAGGAAGTGCTCACACAGAGCAAAGGGGAGAACATGTTCACACCAGCCAAGCTGGACAAACACCACCACCCCCACCCACACCCTACCCCCCACTTCCCACCCCACAGGAACAAACTCTAGGGAGGTCTTGTCTCAGTATTAGGAAATTTACTAGCCCTGCACTGAGCGCTGCTCCAGACTCACCTGGCAAATTATAAAAGCCATATTAGAAAGGATCAAAGTGTTTCTAAGCAACACTAACTGCATCCCAACACAAAGCTTAAGGAGATATATGTAGGAGTACAAAAACATCCATTGTTGCCTTGCTTCATATGTTGGTTTTGAAAGTCTAATGCTAGTCTAATTCTTTTGCCTTTGTAAGTAATTTGACCTTTTTGTCTAGTGAAAGAGAACTTGAGGCTTTTATTGTTATTTCTGAGAACTATTAGTTGGACAAGGCTATGCCTGAGAATTGATATTTCTGGGCTAAGTTTTGACAGATGAGCCCTTCCATGTGTTGATTTAGGTCTTTTTCTACTTCTGGAAATTTCCTTGCATTATAAAATTAAATATTAGATCTGTTCCATTGTTTTTATTTTCTTCCTCAGTGTCTCAGATAACATGAATATTATTCTTTCTTTGCCTGTCTTTCTTTTCTACTACTTTCTGAGCCTTCTTACTTTTTTGTTTACTCATTACCATCCCTTTGGTTATTTTCCTACCTTTAATTAAATGTTCATTTGGTCCATTCTTCTTTGTGCATCTAATAATTTAATTTCTGAGATAATTTTCTCTTTTTCTACCGTTTCTTCTGAGTTTAATTAACTTTTTGTTTTCATTCTCTCCCCCCCCTTTTTAAAAAATGTTTATTTATAGATTTTTGAGAGAGAAAAAACACAAGTGGGGCAGGGGCCAGATAGAGAGAGAGAGAGACACAGAATCTGAAGCAGGTTCCAGGCTCTGGGCTGTCAGCACAGAGCCGGACGTGGGTTTCAAACTCAGGAACTGTGAGATCATGACCTGAGCCGAGGTGGGATGCTTAGCTGACTGAGCCACTCAGGCACTTCTCTCTCTCCTTTTCTTTTTCTTTCTCTTTTTCTTTTCTTTTTTTCCATTTATGCTTTTAGTTTTTGGGTTTCATATTTAAAGTGGTTTTTCATATCCTCAAATGCTTGTTTCAGGATATTTCATTCACTATAAGAGTGCAGACTTAAAATTTTCTTCTGCTTCGTGGCTGTTTTCCAGGAGGGGAATTTTCCTCGGTTGATTTGCATGCAAATTCATTTCCTGATTATCTGACATATTTCTCTGTAAACTTTACTTTCTTTTTGTTCATTTTTATAATATTCAGCATCTTAGAAGATTCCTTGTTTAATTCCTTTTCAGCTTACAAAGGTCCAGGTACTTTAGTGGGGTCTTGTCGGACTGTTTTAGTGGTGAGGGGAGAGATTGCAAGGCTTCTAGTTTTTTTGTTGATTTTTTAAAATCTGGAACACTTCACCAATATGTGTGTCATCCTTGCACAGGGGTCATGCCAGTCTTCACCATATCGTTCCAATTTTAGTGTATGTGCAGCCGAAGCAAGAGCGGTTTCCAGTTTTTTTAGTCTCTTTTGTCTTATGGGACACAAAATGTCTTTTATTCTTTTTCCCTTTACCACTTGATTTCCCAAGGATCATTCTTCCTTCCCTTTTGCCTCTTTCTCCCTCAGAAGCTTTTTTTCCCCAGAAGACTATCCTTTTAAATCAAGTTTTTCTTTTAAAATATAGTCTGGGGGCGCCTAGGTGGCTCACCTCATTAAGAAACCAACTCTTGATCTCAGCTGAGGTCATGATCTCATGTTGGTGGGTTCAAGCCCCATGTCGGTCCCTACTCTGACAGCGTGGAGCCTGCTTGGGATTCTCTCTCTCTCCCTCTGTCTCTGTCCCTTCCCTACTTGCCCTCTCTCTTTCAAAACAAACTTAGAGTTTGTCCCTTTAAATTGCATATCTGGTCCTCTTCATTTTAGTCTATCTGGTCCTTTAAGGCCTGAATACTTTGAAATCCCTTCTCCGCTGTCATGTTCTGATCTACCTGGTTACCTTTTTAGGATTTTCTGATTTAGCGTGGATGCAGTCTTTCTGTTGGTGGCGCCAACTCACACACAGGCCTCTCAACTCGAGTCCCTCCTGTGTGTCTTGCAGTTTCTCTCCGCCTGCTTTTGCTTGCCACAGAACCCCACACTGGAAGAAGGGAACACACGGGCCAGAGTGCTGATACTTGTTGACTTTTCTCTTTTTACTCACAGTTATTTTACAGTCTCAACATTATTTACGTTCATGTTGAGAAGTGGTTTTCATCAAATTTTTGTAGATGTAAAGTTATTTCATATTATTTGGGGAACAGACTTGGGAAGGCTATTTACCTCATTGCACCCATTGTTTATAGCTCCCCTGAGTCATCATTTTAAAATCTTTTATTAAAACATAATATACATACCAGAAGTGCACATAGCGTTGGTATGCAGCACAATACATTTTCACAAACCGAACGCGTCCATGTAGCCCCAAGACCAAAGGAAAGAACTCACCAATACCACAGAACCAACCTGTGCTCCTTCACTTGGTATCCTCCCCCCAAGGGTAACCACAGGCAGATGAGTCTCCCCTGTTTTTGCACATTCTAGAAATAAAACCACATGGCAGGTACTCTCACGTGTCTGGCTCCTGTGATCATGTTTAGGAGCTTCATCCATGTTTCTCATTCTTGCTGCTGAATACTCTTCCACTGTGAATGTGCCATAGTTTATTTACCCATCCTATGATTTGGGGGTAATTTCAAGTTTTTGGCTAATTTGAATACTATTGCTGTGAACATGCTTATACATGCCCTTTGGTGAATATGCAAACATTTCTAGGAATAGAATTGCTTGGGCCAGCAACTCGTGGAACGGCAGCAACCCTGTTGCTGCAGGCACATCCTTGTCAAAATATGGTGTTGTCTATCTTTTTTATTTGATCTGTTCTAGTGGTGCGTGGTCATATCTCACTATGACTGAGTGTCTATTCACCTTTTATTGGACATTTGGTTCTCCTGATTTGCAAAGTCTCTCTCAGTTATTTTTCTTCTGCTAGTATTTCATTTTAGAGAAAAGAGACCTTTTACATGGTGACCAGTGATTTCACCATGTTCACAAAACAAATTAGTCATAGAGCAAAAGTCAGACCCAAAACAACAGCACCGGATTCTCCACGTTTTTTTTTTTTTCTATCAGAATAAGGAGTTTGGGATTAATCTTGTTAGTAGTCATTTAAAGTTTTTAAGCTGTCTAATGACATGACATTGGTGAAATAAATAGGCAGATCTCAACCTGGTGGGTGGAATGGATTATAGAAAAGTGAATCTATGGGTAGATAAACCACTTAGAAGACAAATAGTACAGAGCAATAAAAGCAAGAAGAGACACAATAAGATTGCAAATAAGAGATAAATCAGAGAGAAAATGGAAAGAAAAATTTGATGGGAAGAAAAGATTTCTCTAATCTTTTTGTAAGCTCTGGAGACGAAAATGATGATAATCCAGACAGAATTAGGAAAATCACAAGAATGGGTTATTGGGGATGGGGAGAGCATGAGTTTGGTTTTAAATCCAAGATTTTGACATGTCAGCAGGACATTCAAAGTATCCAAGAAACGACTGAAAAACCAAAACTTGAAGCTAACGGTAGGGATTTGTGAATCATCTGTAAAGAAGTGACATGATAATGGAGGTCATGTAGAAAAAGAAAATTGTAGAATGAAGTGGAGAAATGCCCCCCTCCATTCAATGGGTGTGGAGAAGAATTCAAGGAAGAAGTCAGAGAAGAAGGGCTACACAGGTAAGAGGACGACAGAGGAGAATTAGAACAGAATTGTGGCAAGAGGCTCAAAGAAATTTTTTAAAAATGTTTAAAGCAGGAGACGGTCAACATGAAAACCTCAGAGAAGCAAAATAGCGTGAGATCTGGCGCAGGAGAAAAGCCTGCTGAATGTAGCATGTAGGCTGTCACTGGTGTCAGTGGAAAGAACAGTGTCAGTACCGTGCCAGAGATGAAAGATGGATCATAAGACCTTCAGAAATGAGTTGATAATCAGATAATACAAATCACAATATATTAATAGAGCTCTTTCAATGGCTTCAACTGTGAAAAGCAGAAAAGAATTAGCAGAAAAAGAAAAGGCAGTCAAGCAAAAACTTTTTCCAAATGGAGGACATCCGTGCTTTATTTCAGTCAGATAAAAGGATGCCCCCAAAAGAGAGATTCAGTTGATAATGTTAGAAAGCAGAGGAATAACTGCAGTCATGAAGCTCAAGAGGTTAACAAGATTTGGAATACCCCTTATGAGGAGAATTAGTAAGGAATTAAGGATTTCTGCTTTTGGGGGTGAAAAAAATCCTGAAAATCTTTCTTCTATGATGCTGCATAAAATATTAGGAGCATTCTTTAAAAGTGTAGGTGAGCTTGTAAGAAAATAAGATTCTCAGTTGTCGGGAACAAGAAGCTCTTAAAAACCAGAAAGGGAAGCCTTCCAATTGGCATCACTCTGTAAGTCTGGAGGAAGGGGGAATACTTGTTTGGGGTACCCTATGGGTTTTGATATTTTTTCTCTGTGATGGAATTAGAACTCAAGCCTCTGCTACAAGCTAGGACCCTTGAAAGATCCACTCTCATGAAAGGTGGATTAGGGGAAAAAACAAACCAACCAGAAGCACAGAGATGCTTGAAAAACAAGTTGTCTATTTCAAGCCTAACCTGGAGTGGAAAAAATATCCTCTCCTACGAACACATATATCTGAGTCTAAGCCACACACAGAAATTTGGTTTGAGTTTATACTAGCCACATGATGAGCTAACCCTCAACCTAAGAAATCAACATAAAACTATGTTCCAGGTTGTTAATACCCTAGAATACTAATGTAAAACAACTCTAAAAGGCTGTGTCCCCAATCCTGGCCACATACGAGTCCCATAGATAAAATACCAATGAAGATACACTTGAGCTCAATAACTGGAAATATGTAAGCAATATTTTATAAAAGCACTGCAAATCTCCAGGGTTAGGTCTTCTATAAATTCAGACAAACAATCTGACAAGACTAGAAAATAATTATGTTTAAAATGGTTACAGACAAAAAATAAAGAAGTAAATTTTTTTAATGATTAGAGACAAAAAGATATGAAAAAAGCTTAAGAGCAGTATACTGTTTAAAAATTACAATCAGGAAAGAAAACTCAGAAAAAGACACATTGAATATAAATAAGTAAAACTTCTAGGAATAAAATATATATATAGCCATTGAAATTTTAAAAATTCAGCAAATGCATTAAATAGCAGAGTCAACATAGAAAAAGCAAGAATTGATATACACAAAGATAGATCTGAGGAAATTACTCAACATGAATCTCAAAGAGACCAAAAAAAAAAAAAAGAAGGAAATATCAGGCAGAGGTTAAGAGACAGAGTATAAAATATGATGAAAAACGGATGAACATAGACTTAAATAGACTTCTAGAAGAGGATTCAACCAAAGGAAATATGGAATTGATTCTATTTTTTTTTTGAAGACCCAAATGAATCTAAAAAGCTTGAATTTTTAGTTGTTCACGTTGGAACAACGGTACACTAACTCTTCCCTGATTATTCTAATCTACATTCTTTCCTCTTTTCTCTGAAGTTCTTTGGTAATTACGATCCATACATCACAATGTACCATCTAATTACAGACTGCCTTGCTGACAGCGACAATGCCTTCACACATGCTAGTCAGAGCTCCCTAACTAAACTGTAGAATTCCAAACAAAGAGGTCATGTCTTAAACTTCTCTTCTATTTCCTGCAGTGCCTGATATTACTTACTCCAAATTACAATTTCATGAGGGAAATAATACCATTCAAGGTAAAACCCTATATTTTAATCCTCAATATGTACTTTATTTTAATAAAGACATATTCATTTATCTATTTCATAGACAAGACATGTCCAAGAACACATACATTTCAACTCTGGCTAAGCAAGAGTTCAGCTTAAACTTCAGTTAAAAATTCCTTTAAGTATTTATTCCTTTAGTATGTACCCAGCAAGTTTGCATGCTGAGCATATTTTGTAAATCAAACTATAAATAGCTATTAAAAATGTCATATGTAAATTGATCTATTTTCAAGGTTTCTGAGTACAACAGAGGATCTGAATAATTTTTTGAATGGCTGACAAACACTTTTTTCTGCTTTTGTGTTTGGATATCTCCCAAAGAACTGAGCAAATTTTCCTAAAACTCCATCCACAATTCTCTGTAAGATTAAAAATGGACATGAGGAAATTCACTTCTTAAAATGGCAACTAATTAAGAAAGTCAATGGGAGGGGTGCCTGGGTGGCTTAGTCGGTTAAGCGTCCGACTTTCCCTTAGGTCATGATCTCGTGGTTCGTGGGTTTGAGCCCCGCGTCGGGCTCTGTGCTGACTGGCAGCTCAGAGCCTGGAGCCAATTTCAGAGTCTGTGTCTCCCTCTCTCTCTGACCCTCCCCTGCTCACGCTGTCTCTCTCTCTCTCTCCTAGAAATAAATTGG